TCAGATGTAAACTTTAAACTTTTCTATTATAAGTTCAAACTAATAGTCAAGCAACAGCTTAGATTTTGTTAAAAATTTATTAGATTTTAAAAATTTTTTGTTAAAACAGATTTTGTTAAAAATAAATGACGAATCTAGAGAATAGTTAGTTGATTTTTTCTGGATTTCGCATTTGACACAGTGCCCCATATAAAAGATTAAACTTACTTAAACTTACAGCTTATGTAATATCTGGTCTGACAATACAATGGATTGGAGCATTTTTAAAAGAAAGAAAACAAAAAGTTGTGGCAAAAATGTATCCTTTTGGGCAGAAATTACCAGTGGTGTGCCACAAGGATCAGTAATTGGATCACTATTGTTTGTACTATTTATAAACGATTTGCCTGAAACTCTAAAAAAATCCAACCAAGCTGTATGCAGCTGACACAAAAATTTTGAATAAAATGCTGTCCAGTACATCAACTCTTTGCAATCAGATCTTCATTTAGCTTTTAGGCAGACTCATTACTGGCTTATCAAGACTGGCTTGTGAAATTTAATATTTCAAAATGTATGTTCATACACTTTGGCCAAAATAACAAGAAATCACCCCTTTATATCAAAGAACAAAAGTTAAACATTACAGAATTTGAAAGTGATCTTGGAGTAATCTTTTTAAGCAATCTGAAATGGAAAAATCATGTAATAAAATGCATAGCAAAACCAACCTAATGTTGGATCGGATTAAAAAATGCTTCGTTTGTTTACATATAAGACTGCTGAGAATACTTTGTTTCTTTTGTGCGACCACTGTTAGAGTTTGCAGTACAAGTTTGGTCACCAATTCAAAAGGGAGAAACTGAGTTATTAGAAAGAATCCAACATCGTGCAACTTGATTAATACCATCACTTAAAAAAATCAGTTATGAGAATCATCTAAAAGATCTTGACTTGACTACCTTGACAAAAAGATATGATGTCAAAGGAGAGATATGATTCAACTTTTTAAATTCTTAATTGGTTTTAACGATTTGGAAACAATCAAAAAACTAAGTATTCAACAAACTCAAACGAGTGGTTACAGCTATAAATATGTCAAAAAAAAATTAAGCAAGCATGTCGTGAAAACTCTTTACTAAATAGATTGGCCAATTTATGGAATAGCTGGCCAAGCGAGTTGGTTAAAGCACAATCAGTTAACAGTTTTAAAGCAGGTCTTGATTGCTGGATGAGCAGCAATTAAGCAAATCGGCTGTCATAGTGTGTTAATACCACACTCATTGGCTCACACCAGTTACAGCAATTACTAATACTAAATACAAAATGATTACTATTTTTGAAATTTTTATAAAAATTCGCTTTGTATGAGATCTAACATGAAATCCTTTTAAAGAATTTTTTTTAATAATAGGGACCTGCCTGATGTTTAAGGGTCAAAATCAAGCATTTTCTTTAGAGCATTTTTATTTAAACAACTGCTTAGGGTTTCATGGATTGGCAAATAAGTATGGTTTATTGTGATGAAATTCACACTTTTGTTTATTTTCACCCTAGCCTAATATATATATATATATATATATATATATATATATATATATATATATATATATATATATACATATATATATATATATATATATATATATATATATATATATATATATATATATATATATATATATATATATATATATATATGTATATATATATATATATATATGTATATGTATATGTATATGTATATGTATATGTATATGTATGTATATATATATATATATATATATATATATATATATATATATATATATATATATATATATATATATATATATATATATATATATATATATATATATATATATATAGAGAGAGAGAGAGAGAGAGAGAGAGAGAGAGAGAGAGAGAGAAAATAGGGAGAGTTCATTATTTACATTTATTTAGATATTTTTGAATTAGTTAAATGTAGTATCTACTATAAAACAATAAGTGTCTAAGTGAATCATAAATTTAAAATTGCAGAAAATTTCCAAGATTAATTCTATTAAATAATCAAATCTCTTAACTTTTAAGCCTTAATTTTTCTGTTAATTTAGTTTCAGAATAAGTCTTAAATAAGTTTCTTAATCCTTAATTTATTTTTATGAATTTTTGGAATTAAGTTTGGAAATGTAGGTAAAAATTAACTGTAAAATTAAATATAAAATTAATGGGATTAATCCATAAAAAACTTAGATAAAATAATAACTTAAAATTACTAGAAACAGTTAAAAACTTTTTTTTAAGTTTTAGTTAAAGAAACACAATATTTGAATAACGTAATAATGATAACAAACCTTTATCAAGAACATCTAAGATGTCTTTACTAATAACCAATAGGCGATTTGTATAAGAATTAGATTGTGGAGCATACTTAAGATGTTCCCAAATGATCTCCTCTTCAGAAGTAATAAAATATTTATACTCTATAGAATTTTTAATTCTAAATATTTCCTTTGAACAAACTAGATCACCTTTGTAAAGATAGCCAAGCGAGTTTTTACTAAAGTAGTAATAAGACATAAATTTATAATAATTAAGTAAATACTTAAAAAAAAATTGTAAAAATTATTGTATTTTAAAAATTTTAAACAAAATATACATTTTCTGAAAAAATAAACAATAAAAATCAAAACAAAACAAAAAATTTTGAGTTTTAAAAGAAATACCAAAATACAATACATAAATATTTCTGATTAGAAATGCAAATAATTAAGCAAATCACCTATTGTCAGAAAATACTTTTTGACATTCCATGCGAACAGTAGGTTTTTTCCAATCACCAAGATCTTTATGACCAAACATTATATAAAGGTAATCTATTTGTTTTTTCACCCAAATATAAAAACATATTAAAATCTTGTTATGATCTGGTACTTTAATGTTGAGCAGGTCACCATCAAAACTAAATGATTTTTTAAAATAATATCAAATAATATTTTGTTTGATTGCTTAATTTTAAAACTTCATTACAAATTAAAAACAGCATAAATTTATACAGTTGAATTGCTTTTTGTTTGGTCTTCTCTTTAGTTTTTTGTTCTTTATCTTCATTGTATTGATGTTGACTTTAAAGAAGGAAAAAAGGTTTTTGGTCATATCACGTCATACTGGTATTTTTATTATTAATAATTATACTATTATAATATAAGTAATAATTATATTATTATTACTACAATTATTATTAATGTGTAACAAAAAAGTTGAAATCTACTGAAATTTTAAAAAATCTTTAAAAAAGGCATCTCATTATCAAGCTTAAAAAACACAACAAATAAGTAATCATTGCAACTACTTACTGTCCAAGTTTTTTGTTATTATTATTATTATTATTCGGATCCTGAGTGTTATCACGGTTTTGAGGAACACTTTTTTTAACAACATTTGAATATGAACTTCTTGTGTTATCAGAGTTTTCTTTTAAAGTGTTATCAGAGTTTTCTTTTAAAGAATTGTCTGTCTTATATGTTGAATTACCCTAAGTTGTAATAAAGACAAATATAATAATGAAACATTTTTTATTAACAATCTAATATAGAAAAAAAAATGTTTTTTAGCTTTGAAAGTAATAAACTTCGAAATTAATATAAGTATTCAACTAAAAATAACACCATGAACAAAGTAGCATATTCTTATTTCACACTAAAATATTACTGCTAAACATTTAAATATTACAAGCAGTTAAAAGCTTTCGCAGGTGATTTCATAATGGTAAATACTTTAGTTTAACTAAATATAATTTGAAAATTAGAAAATGTAAAAATTGTAGTTAACTAGATAGTTATTTAGTTAGAACTTAGTTTTGTGAAATTTATCAACTAGTAATACTAAATAACTTACTATTTGATAAAAATTAAATCTAAATAACTTATTATTTGATAAAAAATAAAATCAAGACTAAATAATAATTTATTCAGTATGCATTTACACACCTACATAAATATGCATATTTAAACACTTTCATATTTAGTAAATTAAAAAAATTTAATTAAATATATAAACTTTAAATTATGTTCTATATATTATTTATAAAAACTTTTACTATTAAGTTAATTAAGTTATTAAATTTAATAACTTAAAATTAAATACTATTAATTACTACTAAACTAAAACTGTTTCATAATTACAAAAAATAACAAAAATAATTGTTATCAATAATATTCTTAAATTATTACATAGCTGTTTCACTCAATATAAAAGTGAGCTTGACATCAAAAGTTTATTAAAAAAAAAGTATTTCAGCATAAAAAGTATAAAAATTCACTAACTTAAAAATATTAGTATTTTTTTTCTATAAACAGTTTCATCTTCAAATAAAAAAAATACCTTTATTTGTTAAATAAATAATTACATTAAACGAAATAAAAATAAATATTTTTAAAATATTGCTAATGATTCGGGATCACTTTTCTGTACTTCACGATATTTAAGGATACAAAACCTGTTTTAGACTAACTAAGATTTCATAACATGGTTGATCGTTGAAATCCAGAACACTTAACAATGAATGTCTATTCTATTTGGCTTTTGGTGCCCTTTGCTTTTTTTTTAAAGACAAGTTTCTAATGCAGTTCTAATTTAATTTTTATCATTTTAAAATGTAAATCATAATACTTTTGTAAAGGGCACCAAACTATTAAAATTGCAATCTTTTATACATATGAAAATCAAAACATTATTTTATGTATTTTTACTTATGTTATAAAATAAAAATATACCTAATATCAATTTTACTATTAATTTGACCTAAAATTATTCCAAACAAAAGTTAATAGAAACTATTTTTTCACTAGAAATCTTTACCTACTTGTAAAACATCTACTTGTAAAAATTAAATATTTTAAGTTTTATTTTAAATTTGTTGATTTAACTCTAATGTATATAATTTCACTACAAAAATTGTAAAATTATATTGTGTTGTTGAAAACTATAAATTGTGCAGGTCTAAGTGATAAAATCTATATGATATTTTTGAATTCCTTCCATTATATTGTATGCAACCCTCGGAATTAGGGTCAGCATTCGGAAATGCCGACCTAACTGCCGACCTGAAAGTGTTTGAGGTCAGCATAAATTGCTGACCTTGTTTCTATGTTTTATGGTCAGACCTTTGTATCAAATAATTTTTGCTGAACATATTCCGACCTCAAAAAGATTGAGGCCGGCAAATTATTGCTGACCTCATTTTTCTTAGGGTTGATTGTATGTTATTGCAAAAAAATTTTATGGGGAAAAAATTTGTGATTGGCTTTACTGACTTAATAATGCCTATTTCAGTTAACAACTAAATTTAAGTAAATTTCTTTTGATTTATAGTGGCCTTAAAAAGTGCATATTTGATAATAAATAACTTAAATACATTTTTTTGATTGTTTTTAATAAAATGTGACAACAAATTACTAAGTTCAGCAAATTCGTCATTTGTACTTTAAAACACACCATAAAAATGATCTACTTTAATTTTTTCAGAAAAAATTACCAATTATTAGTGCTCCCCTCTGACAGGTCTTAAACAAGGTTTGAGGGGGACCAATGTCCAGCACCTATTTCAATCATGCACTTGTTGTAAAAGCATTATAATTCAGTGAGTGTGCATGAAACTTTAGTAGCAATATTATATCATAAATATTAGTAATCAGCTGATTCTTGTTACTGCAATATGTATTAGAGTTGCTCTTAAAACAACACTTTTTGAAAAGGTCTGCTCTGAACCGCTAAATGGGTTTCATATAATAAAATAATACTGGATTTAAAAAAATTTTCAATTAATAACTTTCAATTGAAAATTTTTTTAAGGGTCGCTTAAGACTCTTTAACATCAGACAGATCCCTTTTTTTTTAAATAATCAGACAGATTATTTAAAATAAAACATCTTCAAAAGTATAAATCAAGTCAGGTCTTATAAGAAGTTAAATAATAATAAAATTAAAAAAAACTTATTTTATAAAAAAACATTAATAAAAAAAATTATTATCTGAAAATGTTGTAAAAAATGCATATTTTTCAAGTTTAAAAAAATGTCATTTTCTAGGCAGTAAAATATAAAATAATATTTTTTTAAAAAAATGAGAATTGTTTTTGAAAATTATATATAATTTTGCTTCTTTGAAGACCCAACATAAAATATTTTTGAAGAATCATTTTTTTAATAATATTAGAGACCCCCTGATGTTTAAAAGTTTTGAGTAACCTCTACAAATATTTTTTTATCAAAAGAACATTTTAAATCCATTATTATTTTATTATAGAAAACACTTATGTGTTCATAGCAGACATCAAAAAATGTTGTTTAAAGAGTCACCTTAATATATTTTATGCATATATATATATATACATATATATATATATATATATATATATATATATATATATATATACATATATATATATATATATATATATATATATATATATATATATATATATATACATATATACATATATATATATATATATATACATATATACATATATATATATATATATATACATATATATATATATATATATATACATATATATATATATATATATATATATATATATATATATATATATATATATATATATATATGTGTATACATATATATATATATACATATATATATATATATATATATATATATATATATATATATATATATATATATATATATATACACATATACATATATACATATACATACATATATATATATATATATATATATATATATATATATATATATATATATATATATATATATATATATATATATATATATATATATATATATATATATATATATATATATATATATATATATATATATATATATATATATATATATATATATAATATATACATATATATATATAATATTTAGGTCAGGTTTTGTTTTATCATGATTACCTACTATTGGTAATATGTAACTCAAAACAACCTACTGATGTCTTGCTGCCTTGTAAAATCTGCTTTTGTAGAAAAAAAAGTTTTTTTTGTAAAAAAAAAACTCCATTTTGATATACCTTTTCCTCAAAACCTTTGGTTAGATGTGTACTGTGTTAGACTACTGTCTTGTAATAAGTCTCTTATACAAAGACTTTAAGGATAAGAAAAATGTCTTGCACCAGGGATATTAAATGTCAAAATATAATTTCTATTTCAGTTTCTTGTAGCGTTGATTTAATTTCTAATTCTAATTTTACTTTTAAAATAATTCCTATTTCAGTTTTGAATCAGTTCTCTTAAAATTAATTTCAGTTCAGTTCTTATGATTTCAATTCTGCTTCTTATTTCATTTCCTAATTCTTAATTATAAAAGTCTAATTTTTTTTTGAAACTGTAAGAAAATATATGCTTGAACTTCTATCACATATTCTTGTTTAGTTTCATAAAAACTCTTATCTCTAATGATGTTTTCATCATCTCATTTATTTCATTAACTCTTTAGTGTCTTTAAATAATTATATTTTTTTGTAACAAAAGATTAAATATATCGTTGACATAAAAATTTGACTCTTACGTCAATGATACATTTAATCTTTTGTTATAAAAGCATGGCAAACAAGCCAAAGAGCATGTGACTAGATTAATGATCAGACATGTGCAACAACCAGGCTTTTGGAGCCAAAAGTTTTATTTACGACTCAGCTTTGGCTCTGGCTCCTAAGAAATGCCTGGCTCTCAAACTTATGAACAAAAATCGCATATTTTGGAATTTTTTTTTTTATCACATTTGCCAACCCAAATTCAAACCATATAATTTTAAACTAACTTCAACTCTTTTTCATGAATAATTAAAGTTGATATTTTATTATTGAAAATATTTATTATATTATTTTTATAATAATATAAAAATATATAACAATTGCTGGATTTAACTGGAAACATTTTTGCTTTTTTATGTCACTGTTTTTGTTTTTTTTTAATCTTTTTATTTTTCTCGGAAGTTTTTGCTGCAAATGTAATAAATGAATAAATGATTTAAAGGTCAACTTAAAATTTTCTATAATAGGATTCTTAAAAATATATATGTTTAGTAAAATCTCTTTTTATGTAACACAAGTAGTTTTTGTAGTAGTATTTCATAAAACAATTGTTTTCTTAGTATTAGGTATCAAATTTAAATAGTAAAATATTTTTTTACAAAGTAATAAATATAAGTTATAAAATTTTTTTACAGTTTTTCAAATGACTAATAACTGTACTTATTTTTCATTTTTTATTTATTTTTTGTCAATTTTTTTTCATTTATTTTGTAGCTTATTCTGGTCGAAGTGAAGCCATTGCAATTAATGAATTATTTTTAAATAAATCTTCAATTATCAATTGTACCTTGACTAATTTTTTTCCTTTTTATTATTGAATTTTAATAGAAAACTCAAACGTCGACCCCTCTTAATAAAGGCAAATAAAAAGAGACAAACAATGCTTTCATTTTCAATAGCATTCATAAAACGATTTCTTTTAATATATAATATAACATGAAAACGAATCTTTTAGTATTAAGATAAAAAAATTTTAATATTGTATAAAATTTGTTTTAATATTAAAAATAAAAATTCAATATTAGATTAATTGGATATTATCAAACTTTCTTTTTTAATTGGATGAAAGTCTGTGCGCGCAAGCGTAATTTTAAACAAATTAACTTTAGCAGGCAATTTGAACATTAGTTATTTGCGAGTTTAAATCTAAAAAATACATTGATTTTATTTAAAATTATTATCTTAAAAAGAATATGAGTTCATTAATTTTTGAGCATTAAAAAATAACAAACTCGTATTTTTTGTGTGTATAGTTTTAATTATTTTAATTATTAAGAATTATTACTCAGATGAAAGTTTAAATTAAAAAAAAAATTTTAACCGTCAAAAAAAAGCAATTGACCGACAATTTCATGTGCTAGCTGGTCAAATTTACCGCTCGCCTACCATTTCTTATTTTCCATGCTGAACTTTCATAATTACAAGGTTAATGTATTACTATCACTTTACATTTAAAAAGAAAATGTTGTGGGTAAATAAACAATTTTTTCATATACTATTTACCCGAAACTAGAGTTTTTAGTTCTAATTTTAGTTCTAATTCTACCCAGTGGGCACAGTACCAAAAAAAGACGTCTTTTGAACGTTCCAAAGATGTCCAAAACATTTAAAAGACGCTTAAAAAACCTCTTTTTTACATCCCATTTCAACTGCGTAGTATAATTTTGAAGATATGAATATCCTTTGATCATTAAATCGCGCATCAAACATTTAACAGCATAAAATAAATATAAAAACATAAATAAGGCAATATATGTAATACTGTAAGAATGTTTTCATATATAATTTACTTGTTTGTTTTTTTTCTTTACAAAGCATATTAATGAATGCTATTAAAAGATAGTATTTAATTGAATACAAAATTGTTTAAATATTCATTTTTATTACATTTTGGCAAGACTGTAACTTTAAAATATTTTTTTAAATATATAGAAATTCAATACATAATTCATTTAACAAATTACTTAAACAATAAATAAAATTTGATATGACAGAGATAAGAGCCATTCGATTTTTGCGGTTCCCTGGTTCTGTTCCACAAGCCTGGCATAAAGGAAGTATAAATAAATTGTCAAGAAAAAGTTTTTTGTTAAACTTTACTTTTGAATTCAATAATTTTTGTTCAGTAATAATAAATAATTTAACTTCTGTTTTTGTTTCTGATGTCGATATTCAATTCTATTTCATTTTTCGTTTTTCAAATAATTTCTTACTTTATTCATGAAATTATTTTTACTACTAATTTTACTTAACATTAACTTAAATAACTTTAACTGCTTTGCACCCCTTCATCTATTTGGTTGAATCTTTTTTTCTTTTTTTTTTAAACATCTTCACTTCCAACAAGGCTGCAAGCAACTACTAATTAGTGTTGGAAGTTACTGGAAGAGAAAAGATGAAGATTGTAGAGCAAGATAACGATTGACAGACAACTTAAAAGATTGCAAATTATATGAATCAGGAAAGCAAGATAAAGGAAGCAAATTCCAAAAAACTGATGTTCGAGGAAAAAAACTAGACAAATAAGAGTTAATAGAGCACTTAGGAACAGTAACAGAAAAAGGATGAGACTTAATTGAATGACAAGTAAAACGAGAATGAATTCTAATAGATGGCACAAGAGATGCTAGCTCTTTAGAGCAGTGCCTATTATAGTATTTGTAGAAAAGAGAAAGCAAAGCAACATTACGACGATGTGACAAAGGTTGAAGGTTGGCTACAAGAGCAGGTCCAACTATATTTACAATGCGTTTTTGCATCTTGTCTAAAGGAGAAAGGGCATCATTAGAAGATCCGCCCCAGATAAGGCAACAGTATTCCATACAAGGCTGTATTTGAGATTTATAGAGATAGAGAATAGAATCCAGAGTAATAAAGTGTTGAGCTCAATAAAGAGATGCAACTTTAGCAGATGCTAATTTTGCAATAGATTTGATATAAGGTTTCCAAGAAAAATCAGAAGTAAGAGTTAATCCTAGAAGATGAAGGCTAGATGACTCATTAAGTACATTACTGTTCATAAATATAGGAAGGTCTAAATTATTGCGATAATGATTGGCTAAAAAAATTGAGTCTTGACTCTACTCATACTTTTTTTGTGCCTCCTTGATGCTCCTCCTATGTTACTCTCCCTATTATAATGTTTATAGGCATGTTTTTGCGCAAATATGAAGTTTAAAGTTGACATAAATGTTTTAATTTATTAATTCGAACAAATTTATTTCTTCGTTATTAAGGCTATAAACTGTATAAAACAGCAATAAAACAGCATCACAAAGTTGTTTCATATCAACACATGCTCTTTATATAGTTAAAACAAGTTTGCAGCTTGTTTTATTGTTGTTTTATAGCTTTTACAATAATTAAATACTCTTTAAAAATAACACATGTATTATCATTAGCATGAATATATCAGTTTTAAATAGATTTAAATACTGTAATATATTGCGTCTTTACTCTTTTATTTTTATTTAAAAAATAATTACTAAAAGAAATATCTTAATAGTATTAAATACGTTACTTGCTCATTACACTATGACTGCAATTTAAACTTAAAATTATAACTTCGCTGTAAATTATAACAGTAACTTACACTATTTTAAACTCCGCCAAATGATTATATTATAAGATAATATTTAAATATGAGAGAGAAATGCAAGGAATGAACAGGGAGAGGGGGGGGGATTCAAATTTTTTTAATTTTTTTGTGATAAGATTTTTTTGTAATAGGATTTTTTTGAGATAACTCGAGACCTCGAATTATCTCAAAAAAATCTTAACACAAAAAAATTTAAAAATTTTGAAAAAAAAAAAAAAAAAAAAAAAAATGAGTAGCCTCCTCGACTATTCGAGGAGGCTACTCATTTTTTTTTTTTTTTTTTTATTGTATATCGTGGTACAACCCTCTCTCAACTCTTTAACTTTGAAACACAAACCTTGACAAGCAAGACCGCTGCGCAGAGAAATTAAGTTGATATATATCTGAAAAAAAAATTTCAATTTTTATTATTTGATAGACTGCTTGCCCAAACCAAACCCTCAGTCGATGTAGCAGCACTTCGTTGCGAGTCAGGCTATTTGTTAGTCGATGTAGCAGCACTCCGTTGCAAGTCAGGTTATAAGATAGTTGATGTAGCAACACTACATCGACAAACATGCATGTTTTACAGTTAAAAAATAAAAACAATCAGAATGTTTCTAAAAACATTTAGAACGTTTTTAAAAACATTTAGAACGTTTTTAAAAACATTTAGAACGTTTTAAAAAACATTAAGAACGTTTTTAAAAACATTTAGAACGTTTTTAAAAACATTTAGAACGTTTTAAAAAACATTTAGAACGTTTTTAAAAACATTTAGAACGTTTTTAAAAACATTCAGAACGTTTTTAAAAACATTTAGAACGTTTTTAAAAACATTCAGAACGTTTTTAAAAACATTTAGAACGTTTTTAAAAACATTAAAAATGTTTTTAAAAACATTTAGAATGTTTTTAAACACATTCAAGTCTTTTAATTTGTTCTTTTTTATGGTTTTCTAAATTTAATTACTTCCCGCAATTAAATTGATGCATTTTGACATAATGTATCCTGTATTTTGTCAGCTTTAATACCACAAACAAACTAAGAGCCATTTTTTACCACAATCTGTATATCTAAGCCCTTTACTATAGGTATATATATACATGTATACATTAAATATATTTTATATATTAATTTCATAATATATAAATACATTATAAATAAAATAGTACCAGTACTTACTTCATCTGACTGTTTAGAGTTTTGTTCTTTGGATACTTCTAATATTGTTTTTTTATCAGATTGATTATTTTCAGTTGGTTTTTCAGTTGCACCATATGAAAGTGACTTTTGTACTGAAGTTTCATTTCTATTTTTACCAAATACTGGTTGGACTATTTCCTGTGACTCATTTGAAGGCTTTTTAGTATTCAAAATAAAAATAAAAATTTTAAATTATAATAAGTAGTGCATAAAAATCATAACACATAATTATTATAAATATAATACAAAACAAACAATACAACAACAATATAGCAAATTAACATGAAGATAAGAGTTCCAAAGGGCTGAAATGTGGAGGAAAAAATTTAACAAGATTGTCCTTGCATACTCTAAATATGTTTTTAGAGTATGCAAGGACAGATACAGTAAAATAATAAGACTTTGCTAAATGATAATGAATCAAGTGCGACTTTTGGTTGATGGAACTTGTGATGATAGCTCTTTTGAGTATCGACCATGATAGTATTTGTAAAAAAGAGAAAAAGACTCAACTTTATAAGGGTGAGATTTATAAGGGTGAGAGTTATAAGAGACACTCCTGACATATTGTATATATAGTTTCCATGAGAGATCAGTAAAATCAGAACAGCGAAACAAAAAGACTTAAAGAAGAAGAATCAGAAAGAGAGTTGCTATTCAATAATATAGGAATGTCAATAGAATTGCAAATGTTATTTGCAGTAAATAACTGAGTTTTATTGGAGATGAAATTCACAAACAACTGCAAGTCCCAATCTGTTAAAAAAAGTGAGATCAGATTCAAGATCAACTGCCTGTTCCTAGCAATTGAAAAGAGAAGACTTTTTGTAAAGGCAGGAGTATAAAGTTAAACCATCAACAAATAAGGTCACTTTAGAGGTTAATAAGGTTATAAGGTTAAAAGGTTGTTAGGAAGATCGTTAATGTAATGTACGTTAATGATAGAACCTTGAGGTACTCCAGAAGTTACTGGCCTTCAAGGAAATAAAGAAGAGTGTTGGCCTTCGAGGATGACTTTAATAAAGTCGCTAGAAAAAAATGGTTTAATAACCTCTAAAACTATCCCAGGTACAACATACAAAGCAAGCTTATGGAGAGAACCAGAATGCCAAACTTTATCCAAAGCTTTATATATGTAAAGAGCAATACCCCTTGACTACCGCCTCTATCTAATCCATAATAAAAATTTTTAGTCACAGCAGTTAGCAAGTCAGCCGTAGAGCAAGAGAATTGAAAATTGTATTGATTGCCGGCAGTAAGTTATTAGGTTTAAGATGGGATGTTAGAAATTTGTTAACCAAAGATTCAAAGACTTTGCTAATAACAGATAGAAGACTGACCAAAATTAATTAGAGGGGTCAAAATGCTTACCACAGCATTTAAAAATTGAAACCACAGGTGTCATTTTTCAGCTTGCAAGAAAAAAGGAATAAGTTAAGCATTTATTAAATAGTTTAGAGATAATTGAAGAGGGTTCTGCAGAAGACTTTTGTACGACTATGACAGGAATGTTGTCTGGACTATAAGCATAAAAGAGTTTAATTGAAACATGACTATGGCAACATAAGCTAAAGTGATTTGATTGTTTAACTGGAATGGAAGGAAAAGTATGACAAATTGATTCAAATGACAAAATAATCTTAGCATCAGAAAGTACTTTTTTACATTGATTTCTGAATCCCAACACTTGCACATTTTTTTGTGAATCTTTTTTGATTTTTTAAAATACAACATAAAACATTTCTGTAGATCGGAAGTTCTATAGACATCCAAATTTAAGACTTCCTAATATGTAATTTATCTAAGACATTTAAGGGTCATCTATAAAGTATGTACACCGAAAAATGAGAAATTTGACCCTTCCCCCACATGCATACTTTTATTTCCCTCTCCCCTCTCCTTTATTCCTAATCCTCCTTAGATACTTTATACAATTCCGAAGCCCTTGGTTTTGGCACTGGTTACCAACTTTGAAAACATTAATGAGATTAATGCACACAATTCTATACCTAAGGCACCATAATCAAATCACAGTAAAGGCATAATTTACTTTTTATTTTTCAAAAAAATAAAAAGAACTAGGTGCACACATTTGCGATTTTTTATAATGACAAATCAAATAGGTTAATACACATAAAGCAGATGTTTTTTTCCGGCACCCCCTTTTAGTAAGTTCGTAAAAAGAGTCTTAAGGGAAATAAGTAATATTGAAAACTAAACCTAAAACCTGGCAAATTATCAACAACGCTCAGGCAATATATGGTTTTATTTTAATTATCCTAAATGTTATTTATTCAAAGACAATTAGTTATTATCAAGTTCTTGTTACTTGGGATAAATGAGAAAAACAAACATTACCAAGGAATTTTTTTTTAATTAGTGAGTGCGTACATTTATATTGAACCTTGGCCCCTCTCTTCCCCACACTCTTCCCCTCTCTTCCCCTCTCTTCCCCACTCTCTTCCCCCCTTTCTTCCCCACACACTTTTGTATACTTTTTGAAGATACCTCTTATCAATCAATATCTTAAAAATTTATCATTTAAGCTAGAACTATGAACAATTATTTAAAATTTAAAAAGGATTTGTTATAGAGCAAAGGACAATGTGCAGACAGACACTGAGAGAGATTGCACATGCTTCTAGTAAAAAAATGCATTTTAAAACAATAATTTTATGAAATGATAAAAATAAGTGTAGTAGTAGTAGTAACAGTATTGAAAACAGCCAAACTAAACTAATTCGAAAAAGGAGTTTCGAGATAAATATTAAAATAAAAAATAAAATCTAAATTGTGAGAAAAGAAATAGTATCAAAAATCTTTAAAGCAGTATAAGCTTAAAATTAGAAGAAAATGATTAACATTGAAATAAAATGGAACAATGTTAAAATTTAAAAAAATGATGATTCTTTTTTTTTAATTGATAGACTTTGCACAAAACAAACCCTCAAACAATGTAACAGCACTCCTTGCATGTTCTACCTATTTGTCAATCGATGTAACAACACTCCTTGCATGTTCTACATCTTTGTTAGTTTTTCAATACTATTCCTAAATCCAAATTTTGATATTATTCCATATAGACATTTTTGACATTTTTTCTTTAAAATAAATTTCAATTTTTTTTTTTTTTGAATGAATTAATTTTCTCTAAATTAATTTTTGCTATATTAATCCAAAAAAGGGTTTTGACATTATACCTTCTAAATGAATATTGAACTTTTATTTTTCGAATTAATTCCTTAAAATTAATTTTTGAATTTATTCCCAATAAAACGTTTCAATCAAAAAAATTTGGATATTTTTTCTATTTTTTGAACAATTTTTTGGTACTATTCTGCTTTCCCAAAAATAGTATTATAAAATAAAATTAAAATAATTTATATTTTATTTAATAAATTAAAATAAAAAATAATATTATAAAATCAAAAAAGCTAAAGTTTGAATATATTTGTAAATATCTAAAGTTTGAATATATTAATAAATAGTAAAAAAAGTTTAAGTATTTTTGAATATCTGGGAAGAAAAAACATATTAACTATTTTATATTTACAAGCATATTCAAATTTTTGCTTATACAATTTTTCAATATTATTTTTATAATTCATTATAATTTATTTTTTTAAATTTATTTTGGAAAAACTGTTAAATTTTTAAATTATGAATTTTTAAAACCAAAAAAACTTTTTATTCCAAACTTTTTTAAATTAAATAACACTTTCTTGTCTTTAATTGTGTTAGTAAACTTTTGTTTACAAATAAAAAATTTGCAAAATTTTGCAAAAACTAATGGAAGGGCATAAAGAAGTTATAAAAATTTTCAGCAAAAATCCATTAACTTCATGTTGCATGATCACTAAAAAGACAAATGTACCAATATCTACGATTATAAGTTTAAAACTACTTAAAGAAAGAAGAAACCCCATGAAAGTGAAAGAAAGAAAACTTTCCATAAATCAACTAAGATTCAGTTTTACTTCGGTAGCAAGGAATTTGAACCAGTCGCAAAGAGATCTAGCTAGAAAATTTAAAAAATCTTTAAAAAAAAATTTTAAAAAGTGTTAAAAAAAGGTTTTTTTTTTATATTTTTTATAATATTTTTCATAATATATTTTATAATATATCATATATTTTTATAATATATTTCTGAAACAACAAATTTTGTAATAACTATAATCTATCTTATATCCAATTAGATTAAAAAAGTTTAAAAACAACCTTTTTTATAATATATTTCATATTTATATTGAAAGTATGTAACTTATAAATATGACAAAACCTACCACTCAATATCAAACGGCCCAATTTATACTTATAGCTCACTACTTAATTTTAATTGGATCTTACAGCACCAATATATTTTATTTTTTCTTTCTGACTGTTACATTTATTATGTATTTATGTATTCAGGCCTCGGCGGGAAGCGAGAGCTTTAGCTCTCGCTTCCCGCCGAGGGAACTGACAGTAAAATTAAATAGATAAGTTTATAGCATAATGTGAAGTTTGTTTATTAAGTGAGGGACTTTCCCATTTAACGTGAAGGGCTTCTTTTATCTTTAATTTGTGTTTGGTTGGGGCATTATCCAAAATCTCAAAAGAATCATAGTCAGCCAGATTTTTTCAATTAATAGAAAAATTTAAATGTTTAAATATATAAGATTGTTTATCACTTTTAAGGTGCTCATTTATTTTAGTTGCCAAACGTCTGGAGGTTTCTCCAATATAACTGGCATTACAGCCAGCGCAAGAAAATTTATAGACAAGGTGAGATTTAAGCAATTTAGAAAGTGACTCTTTTAAGCAAAAACAATCTTTTATTTGATTAGTAGTGAAAATTAATTTTATTAAAACATCCTTGCAATATTTATGAACAATTTTTGAAACTTTAGTTTTAGTATAATTAGAGTACATTCCAATGTATGGAAGCTTAAAGTATTTTATATTTAAGCTATTAACAATGTTAGAAACAGATGGATTCATTTTCTTATTAATATAGGATTTAATTTCAGAGTCAATAATTTTTTGTGGAAATTTATTATTTTGTAAAACTAATGATAGATTCCTAATATCTTTATCAAAACCAACTTAAGTATTATTAACTTTAAATGAAAGATCAATCAAACAATGAACAAGTGCAAATTTGTAGCAAGAAGGAATAAAACTTAAAA